ACAGGAGACTGGTGAGTGAGCAGAGGGCACAGTGAGCAGAGGGCACAGCCTCCTGGTAATTCTTAAGACTTACTGGTTTAAACAGCACCTGAAACTATTTTAGATAATCTTTCCTTCCATGATTTTAAACATACTGTCCTAGCCCCATATGTAGACTTTGATTATTTTGAAAATTAATAAACTTACAAATAAATTTACACTTGGCTTTAAAAAGTTTTCCAAGCATCCAGTATGTGGTGCCCAATGTTACCAGACCAAAACCACATCTGCTATGAAATACTGGGCAGTTTTACATGTAACCAAACCAGTGCTAACATTGACCTCTGATACAACCCTGATGCATGACTGAGATTCTGCTTTATCCATGCCTGGAAGTTTGCCATTCACTTCAATGGGAGCAGAATTAGGCCTCAAAATGGCAATATCTGGCTCTTGGAAAATTCAATGGCAAGGACTTCCATCAACTTCAATTAACTGGAGGTATTAATTAATTAGCCTAGAATCTGATGCAAGCTGTCTGTAGTTTACAGAAAACACAAGATAATTTAACACAAAAAAATACCAAAGACTGATTAAGTCATCTTGAAATGTTTCAAGCATATTTCTGTCAAAGTTAACTATTTTATGTGAAAATATAAATGTATTCCACGTGGCATCATAAAACATGGGTCACTGTCTCTATGTTGCAATGTGATAACTGAATGTTAGATGTTTTCATTATAAAATATCAAAAATATGCTAGTGGCATAAAATAATTTTCATAGCTTGGATTTTACTTTAAACCCATTCCTGTTACTACTGAATTTAGTGGTAATTTAGGCCTCTAATCTGAATCAGATAAAGCAGGACAAAGATTTGTGAAATACAAAAATCAAGAAGAATGTGAGATAAGACAAGAATATTAATTTATTTTTTGAACTTTTGTTTGGTAGTGTGAGGCTTGTACTGAGTCGCCTCATGTACGTGGTAATATTTATTCTAACAATCCATGGGATCTGGCTGTTTCAGAATGTGATCATTTTTATCTATAACCCCAAATCAATCATTCAGCAAAGCTTTTTACAAAACAGTATTTGTTTGATCTTTCAGCTTTACCACTCTAACCATTTTAATTTTCAAGCAAATTAACCCTGTGATCCTGAACTTTTAACTCAAGCAAATATTTGCTCCTTAATCAGGAGCCAAATAGTGTATTATATGTTCTAAAGCATTTTCAGGTAGGTCTTCCTGTAAGACTACTACTTCTCTTTTGAAAACATTGCAACAGATATATTTTATGACATGAATATGTTGGATCTATTTTTCCCCCCCCACACACTGATTTCAAACCTTTGTATGTCAAAGGAGTTGACCCGTGAAGAATGTGTTCTCTTTACAAACAAAAAGAAAGATGTGTGTTTCAATATAAAGCTGCTCACTGGTGATTTTGTATGGCTTTAGGAAGACTACCAGTTACAGACTAATTCGGCTACCCCTCTGAAGCTAGAGTAGAGTTTATTTGTGCAATAAATGGTTCTTATGCTGTGGAGCAGCAATGAAAACTCAAGCTTGGTACTATGTTTTGTTACACACTAAAAGTTTGTAACCCTTACATTTTTGTACTGTTTGCCATCTATCTTTTTGAAAATAGAATTGAGCTTGGGCATGGAAATGGCTTGTTTTCCCAGGCAGCAAAAAAACAGAGTTTACACCTTGCTGGTCAATCAGAATGAAGACGGTTATCTTAAATCCAAAAGCTACCACAATTTAAACAAAAAACCTCTATTTAATTTCCAGTATCAGGATCATCCTGCCATTTTGGAGGAACGGCCTTCATCAGGCCCAGCACCAAGGCAGGCCATAACACAAACTACGAACCTGTCTAGAGACTAGACCAAGGGGAAAATATTTGATAATAAGAGTGATATGCCCTACCCAGTTCTCAAATCAAATTAATCTAGTGCTGTAGTTCCTAGTCACAGATCACCACACCTCTGCTGATTCCTCAGATTTTTGTGATTGCCATTCCCAGTGCCCCTTCCTCTGCCTTAATGGGTCAGCTCTAACTAGCTCCCTTCATTTGTTGGTACTCTAATTTGCAATGGCTCTTGGGCTGTTCTCAGTTCTAGTTTATCTCATGGCACTTAGATGTCATGGCAAATTTGGGTAAGCATAGTTGAACAGGAAATTTGGCAGAGGTCTGTACAGCTGAGATCTTCATCTGATAGTGAAAATGCCCTAAAATGTTGGGAAGTTCCTGATTTAAAGAAAGACCTAGCTGCTTGGCTGTGTAAATGCAAAATCCCACAGCTCAGACAGACATCACTGGACAGATAAGCATGCCAGTTAACCTTTGAAATAGAATCCATCACCAGACATCTGAGTCAGTATTTCTGAAACACAAGTGGGGAAACAGTTGAACTGGGGGGGGGAGGGGAGGGGACAAGAGGCAAACAAACCTAAACATTGCTTTCTCTGGTGTCCACATTTAAAGTGGGGAAAAGAGAGATTATATTCTCTACTACCGCTTGATAACTGGATAGGGTTCATCTCCAACATCATGCTAGTTTACATTGGTTCTAACACTTCCTGCAGGCAGGCAAATAGACAAGTGCTATATTTGGTCAAGAGTTAGAACACAAAAGGAACCTACTAAAAAAATCCTACTAGACGCATCAGCTGACTTCATCTGACATTACTACATGTTTACAGACATGTTCTCTTTTACACCTCATGTTCTAGAAGGGTTACCAAACTGAGAAACTGGTCCAGGCTCTCAAGACAGATCTTGTCATGTCAAACAGCCTTTTTTTTTTTTTAACTTGCCATGCTCATTCTCCTTCCATTACAACAGAAAGGATATCTTCATTAATGGAGATGATTTTTAGCCCCCCTCCCTTTTGTCACATAAGTGACTGGGAGAATACTCTGCAGAAAAAAATTAGAACCAGATGCAGCTGTCTGCCACATACAGCTGCCATTCACATCTGGAGGCAAACACCCCATTGAAGAGAACAGCAATAATATGCTCCTTAGAGTTGGTCACCAGGCAGTATGGGATATTTAGTTCCTGCCCGACAGCGGGTTCCATTAAGAATCCCACAAGGGCTGCTGCTTTGCACTTGAATGCTGGATTGTAAGAAAATGATTTATCCTTCCTCAAACTCCCTGATATTCACCTCATGCACAATGCACAGCCACTTGATTTGGCATTTAATGCTCTCATGCATTTTCCTCCAAGTCCTAAAATTATTGCAAAGCCAGAAAAGGGGGCTTCACATTATTTTTCATCTGGTTCTGTTTAAGCCACAGAAGGCAATACTCTTGAGAGAGGACTTGCTCCACAGGTGATACAATGGGAAGATAAATGGAATTCAGTTTCCTTAGATTCTGCTGCCCTATGGGAGCTGCTATTTCCTGTCCTGGATTATGTTCCTCTCCTCTCCCCAGAGGGTCTGTCCCTTTACACACTCCATTGTCTCTGTACCACAGAGTTCTGGATGCCAACTCATTCACTTGCCTTTCCCTCATCTGGTTGCTCTTACTCCCTGCTCTTCCTTTC